TTGTTTTAATTATCCTATAGTCTCTGAAAAATCTATTAAATTCCTTCCTCTATGACTAATAAATTCATATTTTATGGACATATCCTTAAAATACCATCTCATTTTATTTTCTTTGATTCTTTTGATCCACAGCTGAACTTTCTATTAATTCTCCTTTCTTACCATTAAAACATAAGTCCATTTAAATGTCAAACAATTTTTAATTGATTATACATGCAACCCATTCTGCCTTGGAATGATATGAACTATCTCATGATGAAAATCCTTGTATAATTTCCTGAGGTCATAAAAAAGGATTATCTGTGTATCTGGTTGAAAAAAATCTGCATAAAATAAGACAAATGAAGATGTGGCAGAAACAGTTCGATTTGTGTTTCTTTCATTTTTCTAATGATTTTTAATATTTCCTATGCTTCCCACTTCTGATCTCTTAACTTTAATTTTTTTCCCTTCCACACCCTTTTCCTAGATGCCAACAGTTATCCAGCCTTACATCCACCTTTCTGTTCTTAATAACTTAATATTTCTGCTTTAGTTTTATTCTTAGGCCTTTGAAAAAGGTTAACTTTTGATTTATAGTGACTACTATACTCATTATTTTCAATATTTGTTTTTCTATATTATCAAAATAATATTTCTTCGTATACTATGGCAGGAATCAGCTACAACTTTATTTTCTTTGATAAGCTCTTCTATTTTTATGAACCAGAGCTGAGAATTTATCAAAGACCAAAACACTGTCTTAACTTTAATATCCCTGTGATACTTTACTTTTAACATTATAACATAAATTCCCAACATAACTTAAATTCAAAGTTGATATTAAGCTACTCTAGGACAGAAGTCATTCTTTACTGATGTGGTATGGTTGATTCCATATGTAATTGTGCCTTGATTGATTACATGAAGATGGCCACCAGTATTCGCCATTGTTTTTCCTAAAGTCTTCGTATTGGTCCCAACATCAAAATGCTCATCATGAAATCTTTGAGAATGAAATAAATCCTGAGCATTCCTCTGATGACTCTTTTTAACCATTGTCTCCGGAGTTCCATGGAAAAGAAGCCATAAGATAACTAACAAATTATGTGACTACGTTCACTTACACGTAAAAGTTTAGTAAGCTAAGCTGCAACAGGGCCACGCACAGGTCAAGTGTTGTTATAGATTATGCGTTTTTGAAAGTTCCTTTCTTTCAGGTATTTCTACCATCATCCTAAATTTCTCTCATTTGTCATTTTAAAAGTAAATACTGTTGATATTGCCAGCAACAAAATTTAGTAGCCCTATTCATTTTCTTGTCCTTCATCTTCTATTTTCTTTCCCTGCCATTTATACTCTCCTCCCTGCGTTGTCTTCTAATACACACACACACACACACACACACACACACATACGTATATGTTATGAATATGTATGTATGTACATATATGGTATTTTGGATATATAATACACACACGTTTTTCAAACTTAGACTTATCGGCCTTTAGGGAATGTATGGATTGAAATTTTGAGGTCAAAAGACTTCATCATTTAGTAGCTTTGTGACTTTTTGCCAAACTATATGAGCTCTTTAAGCCTCATTTTCTTCACTTCTAAGAAATATGTAATGTAATTCCATAGTATAATGCCTTCTTCTTGAGTAATTTAAAGAATGAGTGAGGTAATTAAGCAAATATGCTTGTTACATAATAGGAACTGGATAAATGTTAGTTCTTTATCTTTATCCATATGGGTTTGGTTGATTGAAAGGGCATAGAAATAAGAAATAATGTAGGGGAAAGCATCAGTAAAAGATTTTAAGGGAAACCAGGAAGATATATAGACAATGCCTAATTCTTAATTCCATCATAATTTAGTACATACTTTCCTAGGTGTTTGCTTATTTTATTGAAGGAGATTATTGAGAAATACTGTTAAGTGACATTCCATTTATGTGAAGTTATCTTTTGAAAAGTGTATTCTGAGCATAGTGATTACAATGTGGTCTATGGATTTAAATCACCTGGTTTGAATCCTGGCTTTGCCACTTGTTGATTGTGTGATCCCAGCTAAGTTACTTAACTTGCCTGTGCTTCAGTTTCTTCATCTTAAAAATGGGCATCACAATGGTATTAAGTTTGTTATGAAGAGTAAATGAGCTACCACATGTAAAGCTTTTAGAGTAATGCCTAGCCCATAATAGGCATTCAATAAATGTTTGCTGTTAAGAATATCCCAAATAAATGCAATCGGATACACCTATATCAATTCACGTATTGTGAAACAGTTAGGTAGAAAGTGATTGGCAAAAGTCTCTGAGAGAAGAGGGAAATGAGCAGGGAGACAACAGAGGAAGGAGAAAATGATAACCTGACATGGAAAGATCAAAGAGAAAGTACTCTATTCCCTGGAGTTGAGGGAACTTCTCAATTCTACCATTTTTAGTAGTCTTTCAAGCCCTACCTTCTATGTGGAGACTTCTATAGGTATTCCAGTTTATCATGTTCCTTACTATTAACTTTTACAGTAATTATGTTGATGCCAGAAAATTTAGCTAAATTAACATGTTAAATTAGGACTAAATCACATTAGTTCCTCCTTTTCAGGCCAAAAGCTCATCTTTTAGCAACATGATTCAATAAAGGCCCAGAACCTTGACTCTGACTCATATTCATCCAGTGGGCAATGGCGATGGGTATGGTTGTGTAGTGTGAAGAAGGGTCATTTAGCAATCCTAACTAAGTGGTCACCACCAGTCATTCTATTGACTGGTCTTAGATTCAATTTGCCCTTAATACTTTAATATAAACTGAGTATACTCAGGTCAATATGATAGCTTTAGCCTGTCTAAACCTGCACACCATGTCATCTACCTTGGTTTTCCCTCCCTCTATAGTTAATGGCCCAACATGCCTCAAACCAGCTCCTGTTTGATCATTCTGCTGGTAAATTAGTTACTTCATTCATTTATTCATCATTCATTAAGCCCTCTGCTAGAAGTAGGATTCAAAGATTAATGGCAGTCTTTAACCTCAGGAAGTGCAGCATCTAGAGGAAAACCGGCACTTAAACAGAAATTATTTGAAAGAATGGTAGAGATGGACAGAGAGAATTAAAGGAACATAGAGAAGGATCATCCAGCCGAGCCTAAGTATGGTGGAAAAGGTCAGAAAGAGATGACACTTGAGGTGAGTCTTACGGAAAGAAAAGGTCTTGGTCACATAAAGTGTGGTGGGGCATGTGAAGGTTCTTCCAAGCAGGGGACATGGCATGAGCAACATAGGATGACAAGAAACAATATATGTGTCTTAGGAATCACAAGAAATCAACTTTTCTGACTCAAAGAGGGAGAAATAAATCTTATGCAGTAGGGACCAAATCAGATCATGTAGAGTTTTGTTTGCCAAATTAAGAACAAGCTGTCCTGTATAGTGTGGGGAATCACTGAGTGATTTTAAGGAGGCAAATTAGACAACCAGACCTTTGATAGATCACTTTCACAGCTTTATGGAGCATGGCTTTGAGGGTGACACAATTGGAGAAATGGGAAACATTTAGGAGATTGTGTCAGTCTCGGTTTAGTCAGGAAAAGTGAGGCGCTGGAAATATTGTGGGAGTAAAGGGATGTGATATAGGAATTAGGAATTCATAAATGTACAAGGGATAGAAGAGAGAGGGTCAAGAAAGTTGTAGCCAGAACTACAACTGTTTCCTCAGGGAGACAGCCACTGAGGACCTTAGCCTGATGCATGGAAATGGGTGGTTCTCAAGAAGTTTGCTGGCAAACTGCTGCAAGTTTCAGGATTCTCTGGGAGAGTGCCCACCAATTTTCTTAATCTGCAGCTATAAAGCAGTACTTGTCAAGAAGTCTGAGAAGCTGGTACAAACCTTAAGTCTGCCCATGTGTCTGGCCTCCAAGACCTTCGGAGAATAATGACCTTTCTTCACTTCTGCTCTCCAAATCTTCCCAAGTTCTCATTGGCAAAGTCCAATACCGAGAAGGGGATTCTGGGAAATGTAGTCCTTGGTGTGTCCTCTGCATTGCACAAGAGAAGGGGCTAGGACTGATGCAAAGGGGATAACTGACAATCAAGTACAGAGGTCACAGCCCTGGTTGAGGTGAGAAATGATTTAAGTCTGGACTAGAAGGTCGTAGGCATGGGATAAAGGGTTAAATTCAACAGATTCATAAAGATAAATTCACAAGGTTAAATTGTAATAATTTTGTAGATCTCAGGATGCGGTGAGAGAGGGAGGGAGAGAAAGAGTTAAGGACGCTTCTCTGGCATTTAGTTTGAGTTCCTGGTTGGATGGTGGAAACACCAACTGAGAGAATGGAAGTGGGACAGGTTTAGAGGGACAAATAATACACTCAGTTTGATATCCACACGCAGATCTATAGCAAAAAGTTGAATATATAAATCTGAACCTTTGCAAAAAGGCCTAAAGACACAAATTTGGGAATCATTAGGTCTAGGTAAGAATTGAAGCAATGAGAGTGGACAATATTGTATGGCAAGGATTTGAGAAAAAGAAAAATAGTTGGTCAAGTATAGAACCCAATTCAAGGACTCCAGAAAGTATGCTGAGAAGGAATATTGAGAGAAGGATGTGGAAACCAAAAGGATAGAAGCCAAAAAACAGAAAAGAGTGAGCAATTGGTAAGTCAGTGATGAGGTCTATTAAAGAAGGACTGAAAGTTTCCATTGGATTCGGTTGTTATAATGTCATTGGTGACCTCACTGAGAATAGTTTCAGTGGAGTGGTAGGGTCAGAAGCTGTGTTGTCTTAGGCTGGGAATAAATGTGAGGTAAAGAAATGGAAACCAAGAGTAGACACTAGTGTTCTGAAAAATTGGCCTGTGAAAGGGAAGAAGACTGAATAATAGCTAGAGAGGGTGCAGGATGAGGGAAAGCCTTTCTCCCTTCCTCCCTGCTCTTTCCCTGCCTTCCTTCCTTTCTTTCAATTGTAGCTTTCTCTTCATTTGCTCACTTAGAGAAATAGCTGGATTACATGAAATGCCGAGCTTGGTAAGAGTATGAGCAGGTCTGTGTACATCTCTTTTGGAGGTGGTGTGGGCTTTTACTACTGTTCCCTTTGGATCCCGTTAAGGTAGTGACACCCTACATTGTGAAGTTTAGGTTCAATCATGAACTGTAGTATCGGCACTTAACATAATTTATGTTCTTAGAAAATATATTTACCTCAGAGTTGCTTAATCTTCTTTCAGAACAGAAATGTTAAAAAAGAATATAATGGAAAGCCTGAAAAAATAGTAGCATTGCAAGGTAAAGAGAAAAACTTCACTGTTTTGATGATATTTTTAATTAAAATTTTTTTCCCTGAAAATACAAGTAGTCATAGTGGAAAATTAGAGGATGAATATAGAGAAAAAGAAAAATTAAAAAAAAATTTCTACTATGAGGGATAATCACCAATAATATATTATCTTTTTCTATGTATATATGTATGTATAAAATATTTTTTAAAAAGTAGGATCGTACTACTTATGATGGTTTATAATGTTTGACCTGACTTTGTCAAACTGAGCTTAGAGGATCACTGAAATTCTTTTTACTTTCATAGAACTTTTCATCATCTGTTTTTGGGCTGTGGTTTGCCTTATTTTTAACTCTTCCAAAATATAATTCCTTATGTTTTCTGTCTTCAGAGAATCTCTTAAAATTTCTGGGAGGCTAATGGAACTCATTATTGTTTTCCAATGGAGTTAGTTTTTCAAATATTAAAGAAAAAAATTGTCCAGTTCTAAGCACACATATACGAAAATGCCTATGACATGTCCTGGATCCCAACATACCTCTCTAGAGACCATGCCCATACTTCTGTGATACAAAACGGAACAATGACCAGCGCCAGGGGAGACTTTACCATCCTCTCCTTAACCCAACCTCCCTCCTCATATGGAATAAACTCCCCCTTTGCCTCTATACCTGGCGCGTCTGTCTCCAGCTCTGGGATCCTCTGTGAGACTATTTCTTAAGTCATGCTGCTTTCCTTTGCCCAGCAAACAAACACTCTGTTTACTCTGTTTTTATCCTTGGTAGCATTTGCTCTGTTCTTTAATATTAAATTTATATATTCTTTGACATTCAAAGAATTTGAGATAGGGAGGAAGGTAGAAATTTACATTCTCAGTCTTGATCCATATTATCTGGAGAAATTTGATGCTTTGTCTTCTTAAATAGACACAATTAAATGTATAATTTTATAGGGGACATATTAGAATACCAGTGAAATGAAATGCTGAGATATATTTTACTCTTCCCATTTTTTTAAGGTCCATTGTATCTGAAAATAGTCCAAAGTCTAATTTTCACATTTATTCTAAAACAGGCATATTTCTTGAAATATATGAAGGACAGGTCACTGCAATACTTGGACATAGTGGAGCTGGTAAATCAACACTGCTTAACATTCTTAGTGGGTTGTCTGTTTCTACAGAAGGTAAGAAAATAATTTTAGAAGGCAAGTTGACTGAAAAGCAGTTCTTCAATCTGATCATGTAAAAGAAAAATATTTCTCTAAAGCAGGCTTTTTACACAGTTGAGTAATTTAGAACAGGAAATATTTATTTCGTATTTACATAAATTCATGAGAAAGCTTGTATCTCCATTCCACTATCATGTGTCATTCCGTGTATATTTTGCATTGCTATAGACACTGACATTTCTATTAAGAATAATCTGAATTTCTCAATGTATTCATTATGCAACTATAAAATGTGAAGTTTCTTCAACTAATATCCTGTATTATCACTCTGCACAGAGTTACTATCCTGGTGTTAAATACTTTAAAATTTCTATTTACAGGATCAGCCACTATTTATAATACTCATCTCTCTGAAATAATTAACATGGAAGAAATCAGAAAAAACATTGGAGTCTGTCCACAATTCAATATTCAATTTGACTTTCTTACTGTGAGAGAAAACCTCAGGCTATTTGCTAAAATAAAAGGGATTCAGCCAAAGGAAGTGGAACAAGAGGTAGGTGAACATATTAGAATTGATGGCTTTGGAAATAATTTACTTAATTTGCTCCTGACCATATTTTTAACTATTACCTCATTCTTTCATAATTAAGTTTTAATCAATGAAGTTCTAGAATAAATTTCTCCTCATTAGAGAGTAAGAATGCTTAAAGTAAAATATTTTGTATTAATGCAGGTTTTTTTGGATAGGTAAAAAGAGTTATAATGGGATTAGATATACAAAATATTCAAGATGTCATTACTAAAAAATTAAGTGGTGGACAGAGAGAAAATTAACATTTGGGATTGCCATTTTAGGAGATCCTCAGGTGAGAGAAAAAACATTTTTTAGGATTAATTTGGATTGGATAGTATAAGACTATCATTAAAGTCCAAACTCTACTTTAATTACCAAGTGTGAGAGAAAATTCATAATAAAGGATCATGCAGGCCTGATAGGGATCCAGTGAAGGACTGTATTTGAATCTAGAAGTCATGTTGCTTTCCATACTACTTTCTGAAGATCCTCACTCTGAAGTGGAAGATACTTCCATACATTTTCTCCTCTAGGTTTTGCTACTGGATGAACCAACTGCTGGATTGGATCCTTTTTCAAGGCACCAAGTTTGGAACCTTCTGAAGGAGTGTAAAACAAACCACGTGATCCTTTTTAGTACCTAGTTCATGGATGAGGCTGACATCTTGGCTGGTTTATTTTAACTAGTTATTTAAGGATTTCATATGAGATAATATTTTAGTATAAGGACTTTATAACCTGTTTTTAAAAGAAGAAAATCTTGTTTGCAATCCATTTGAGTGTCTGTATTCTAAAGATCAGAGGAATTCTGATCTTCTAATGAGTTCTTAAGCCCATGCTTTATGTATCTTCTTGTCTGTAATTTACTTGACTGTGTACGTTAATCACAAGTATAGTTTTTGAAGTTTGAAACTCCAATATTACCTTTCATATATAGCTTTTTGTTGGATAGCTGGGAAAAATTCTTTTTAAGTTTACGATTTTTCATTGACTTCTTAGGAGGATCCTTTGTTCACTGAGTGCAGCCTTGGGTGTGAAGATGTAAGCTTGGAGAATCAGGACAAATGTGTTTGCCTAGGAAATAGTGGCAGGTAGGGAACACTAGTTTTAGTGAGCCAGGAGAGTGTGTGGAGGAGGAATCCAGAAAAAATGAAATCGGAAAGGAACTCAGTGAAGGAAGTGAAATGTTTGCTGTCTGATGTGCAATGTAACGCTGTTCTGTTTCCTCCATGAAATCTGTGGTAAAATAGACTCCTTGTATCAGTTATCTCCTACCGCAATAACACTATGTGACAAACCATCCCCACACTCAGTGCTTTAAATAAGCAAGCGTTTATTTAGGCCATGACTTGGAGAGTTGGCAGTTTAGCGTGGGCTCAACTAGAGAGATTTTCAGGTCTCGACTGGGTTCACTCACATGTCTGGTGGTTGCGTGGCCATTGGCTAGGTTGACTTAGATGACTCATCAGCATTCCAGGTGTGTGTCGTCTTCCAGCAGTCTAGCCCAGTCACTGCCATGTTCTCATGAAGGAACAAGGAGAGCAAGTCCCAATGCATGAGCCCATTTCATGTCTCTGCTTTCCAGTGTCTGCTAACCTGCCACTGGCCAAAGTAAACCACATGGTGGAGAGTGCTGTCAAGAGTGGAACAGGTCACTTTGCCCGTGGTGAGAGAACACTGAAAAAATACATAGCAAATTATGTAGATAAAGGGAGAGGGGAAGAATTGGGCCATCCTTGCAATATTTGTGCCATTGCATTAGCTGTGAGAGATGCAGTGGATTTCTGAGTCCAGCTTCAAGGTGGGCGTGGGGGTGAGAGGTGATGCTGCCTCCAGGAGCTCAATATATCATGATGGTGTTTACACTGAAAAATTCATTTGGTATTTTGGTCTCCAGAATGGAGAATATACCCATGTAAGGAATTCACATAATTTATTTTTTCTTACTTTCTACTCAGATAGGAAAGTGTTTCTGTCTAATGGGAAGTTGAAATATGCAGGGTCACCTTTGTTTCTGAAGCAAAAATAGGGTATCAGATATCATTTAAGGTAATGTATTCTCAGTGTAGTTGTTTTTAATGTGAGTATCAATACGAGGGGTGACATTCCATGTAATCGTTTAGAGATATAAGAAAGTCAACTTAATTTTGGGTGGAAATTGATTTACAATAAATAGTACAAAATATCTCCCTCATTAACATTTTCCTTGTTGGTTATCTCTTGGAAATTAAGCATGCAAATTTCTAAAATCGTATGTATCTTTCAATATAATATTTTTTGGCCAATATTTATATAGGAAAAATTTATGTTTATGTCCCAAAAAGCAATTGATCATTTTTAACAAAATAATTTGTCCTCAAAGTCTGAAATTGTATTCCAAATTTACTTCTCGGAATGTCAGAATATCACATGGGGCATTTTAGAAAGCATGACGTATCAACAAATGAGACCTGTACATGGGAGTTGTTGGCATTAAGAGAGGCCAGTTACTACATAGATAGCAACTGTTTATTAAAAACCTTATTAATTTTTCATTGATCTAGAAGCAATGTTTCATGCACTTTACACTCTATCATGATTTTATATATATATATATATTTTTTTTTTTTTACCTGCTAACCTATCTATACATATTATATATATACTGAAATTCCAACTTGCTTTCAGTTACATTTTAGGAAATTGGTTGGGGGTTTGGGGTTGACATGTAACGTACTGTATTTTTTTCCCATTTAAAATAAGGCAAAATAGGCTGCCAATTAGCACCTTGAAGTGGCACATCTGATTTGTGGGAACTGATTACTGAATTTAGCAGGATATACCTATAAAATGTACAAATTTTTAAATCAAAAACTGTCTTTTCATTAGCGGTGGTGTTGGAAAAGAATTCAAAAGACTTATGCCCCTTTTGAAACATTAGTTTACACAGGAATGAAACGTGCAATCCAGAGAGAATCACATTCCTCCTTAGACATCATGTCCCTGATGCCAAGTTAACAGCAGAGAGTGAAGAAAAACTTGTGTATAGTTTGCCCTTGGAAAGAACCAACAAATTTCCAGGTAACTTACTGTATGATCCCGTAAAATACGGCTAAAGGTCCATGATTTTGCTGATTGCCTTTTCTATTTTCTATCAGTTGGGTTTTAAAGCTTATACACATGAAAATATTTATTCATAAGTACTCTGCCTCCCATTTCTAACATGATGAAGTGTGTTACCAGATACATGATTTTAATGTGAAAGCAACTAAAATTTCCCTGAATGTAGTTCACCGAGAAACCCAGATTTGTTCTCTTTGTCAGCGTTAAATGAAGGTTTGAAATATCTTTTTTCTGAAACAGCAGAAACTTTTAATTTCTGTTAGAGGCACAGATTAAATAAGGTCTTATTTTTTAACACACTTGTAAGCGGTTCAAGGGTCTTTGTAAATTATGATTTTAATTATAAATATAATATGGTTAGTACAGAAAAGTTAGAAAATACAGAGAAGAAAATATAATTTACCCCATGCCTAATGAGTTTTTAAATAGACATACAGATACACACTTATACAAACACATGCATGGCCATAGTGACACAAGAAACTTTAAAGCTTATGAAACAAAATAAAAATGTAAAATAATAAAATCGATTTGAAAGACAGGAGAACATCTTATGGGAATGTTTTCCTTGGATTATTATAGCGGCTCTAATATGAAAATATTTTTTAGATTTATCTCTTCTGAGTAATCCTTAGAAATTAGTATTTTAGTGTACTCATTACCAATTTTACTTGCATCATTTTGTTACTATTTGCTTTTTAGATCTTTACAGTGACCTTGATAAATGTTCTGACCAGGGCATAATGAATTATGGTGTTTCTATGATGACTCTGAATAAAGTATTCTTGAACCTAGGGGGCAAATCAGCAATTGATGAGCCAGGTATGAAAATGTGGGTCTAGCAGAAAATTAAGAAAAAGAAAAAAGAAAATGACCATGTATTAGTTCATATTTGTAGATTTTTATGTGGAATTCTGCCTAGAATGTATATTGGATATAAAATAGGATTGTCCACTTTTAAAAGTATCATAATTATTTTGTATCTAACATAGGCTTGGTGCTAGGAAATTATGACATTTGTCCACGTCGCATGTCTGTTAACAGTCGCATCCCTTTGCAATGCTCACTTCCCCCTTATTACCAATAGCTGTCTGCTAATGTCATGAATTCTAGCTTTGTCTCTTACTTACCATTCCATATAAAAATGTGCTCTTACTTAGCTAATAAACTAATTCTAATTAACATATTAATAACAGATAATTAAGTAAGGTATTATCTTCCTTTAGTTTACTTTGTAATAATAATAATAATTAGAAGAATTTAGGAGCCTACTATGTGCCAGCCATTGTGCTCAGCTGTTGGATTTATTGTTCTTAATTCCCATAATAACTTCATGATGCAGGTGAGTAAACTGAGATTTAGAGAAGTTGAGCAATTAGCCAAAACTGTACAGCTAATGTGTGGCATATGTGTGATTTGAACAGGAGGGCTTTCGTGGACTTTGTATTACTTAAAACCATGGTGTCTTGAAACAGTCACTGAGATGTCAATCATCAGTGATGAACTAATCTTGTGAAGGAGATTCCAGACGGCAGAGGAGACCTTTTAGAACCTCAGCTCTATAGATTTATCCTTGTGCTTTTTTAAGACTGGCTCAGCAAAAATCCCTTAGTGAAGAGCTGCTGCTGTTGGTGTGAAAGAATAAATGCTTCCCGAGAAGCCTAAACCATCTTCAAAAATTAACTTATTCACTTATTGAAGTAGGATCTATTATATTTGTTTGAAGGAAAGATTTTGAATATAAGAGTTATGGATACCAGTAGCTTGACTTGTTAGAAGAGTTGTTTCAAATATTCTAACATAATTTTCAAAGTTTCTAAAGAGGAAGTACAAATAACATAGCCTATTATAATGGTTTATTAGCTGGCTGTAGCTTTTGGCACTCAGAAACAGGAGAAAATCAATGTGACAAGAGATACTGAAAGGGAGTCTGAAATGCAACCGGCTCTTTGTTCTCTCCCTGAAATAAAAAGGGTCGTCTGTACTGGAACTCTCTGGAGATGACAGGTCTATGCAATGGCAAGGCTACGCTTCTTAAAGTTAAGACGTGAGAGGAAAGTTCTTTTGTCCTTGTAGGTATCAGACTACTTTAAATCTCTTTTGTCAATATATGCAAAAAAGGTTTAAATGTGAAGAAAATGTCTAATAATTTCTTCATTCATTTAACAATGTTTTTTGAATGCTTACAGTGCTGTCATACAGTAGTGAACACGGCTGACAAGGCCTTTAGACTTACTATCTTGTGGGGTGAGAAAAGTACCAATTAAATAATTTCCCATTAAAAATATGTTACTCGTTCATTATATCACAAATCATTATTGAAGCCTGTTACGTGCTAGGCATTGTTCTAGGTGCTTTGGTTACAGTAATGAGCACAAAAAGCAAAGATCCTTACCCTCATGGTGTTTACCTTCTGGTTGGGGGAAAAAGATAAAAAATAATAAATATAAAAACTAAGTAAATTATATAGCAGGTTATACAAAATAGAGTAGAGTAAAGGTGCTGGGGAGAGTTGGGAGTGCCTTACAATTCTAAATAGAGTGGTCGGTGTTGGCCTTACTGAAATGGCCACATTTAAGCCAAGATTAGAAAACACGAAGAGACTAGCAAATAAGAGGTGGAGAATGGCAGCTCAGAACAGAAAGTACCTATTGGATTTGGCAAAAAAGAAATCATTAAAGGTTTTATCAAGAGAAGGTCTGACAGTTGACAGCTCTTTTGGGGTGCTTGACCACGGAGGGAAGTAGAAAGAACAGTAGCTGAAGGGAGATTGAAGTGAGGAGGGAATTTCATTTTTTTTTTTTAATCAACGGAAGATAGAACATGCTTCAGTGATGATGGGAAGAAGCCAGGACAGTGAAAGTAATTGAAGATGAAGGAGAGATGAGCTAACTGTGCAAGGTCTGGGGGAGGGTGCAAAGGGACTGGATCCATAGCAATATTGAGGCCTGGCCTTTGATAGGAGCAAAGACATCGTCTATTACAACAGAAGGAAAGAATGAGAAGATGGGTGCATCTGTGGATAAGTTTTCTTTTCTTTTGGTGGTGATAAGACCAGAGGGAGTTTCTATCTGATGGACTTTCATTTTTTTTCTTTCTATGAAATGTGAGGCTGAGGAGGAAGGAGGTAGGGTCTAAGATCTCATGAAAAAGTAGTTATCGCAAAGAGTGGACTCGTGTATTTATCAGAGAAACAGAAAGATTGCTTGGAAGTGTTTTGCTTGTAGTTTGGGTTGGGGGGATGTGTTCTAGGATCTGAAAATAGTGTATTTTGCACTAAAATATTGCATCTAGTTTTATGAAAATTAAAATATATGTAAAATAACAGCTGATGAAAATTCAAGTTTTACTTGAAACTTTGCACATTGCGAGCTTGAGGCCACAGTGTGAAATAGGGCTTCTTTCCCTTCAGTGCTACCTAAGCAGGCTGTCTGACGCTCCTGGTATCCCATAAAACCGTTTCCCATTTCCCATTTTGTCTTAGTCAACTAGCAGGCTCACAGAGGAACCTCCTGGATCTCGACTTCTCTCTTGATGCTCTGTTATTCTTGGACACCTTGCAATGTGATAAGAATTATGCAAAATTTGGAGGCTGTTTTCAGTTTAATCTCACTTTCAGTTTTATTTTATGTAACTAAATGCTATATTTGTATGTTGAGTTTCCATAGGTTGCAATTTATATAGCATGTTTGTGACTTAACTAATCAGAGGGAAAATGCTTTAGACTCCTGTTTTAATTTTCTTTACTTAGGTTACTGGTACTTGGAATTGCTTTTGTCTTCACATTTACAAGAAGATAATGTCTGTAGTATTTCTTCACACTCATCGTTGGGAGTTTTCATCTAGTAGGTATTTCCTCTCTCTGGAACAACTCCCACAGACTCCTCTTACCAGTCTACTGATCATCAATAATACAGGTGAGAAATAGGGCTTAAATTTAGTCTTAATTTTTATTATCAAAGATCTTTAGAAAGCACAAACTTGAGAGGCAAAAGGACCTATATTAAAAACAACTTGAGAGGAAATGGGAAAAAAGTGATGTGTGCTCAGCTTGCTTCGTTTTCAAAATAAGGAAATTGATGTGCTCATTTTCAAATCAAGAAAAATAATACAGATAATGGAAAATATCAAGTTCACCTAATTTCATGAAAATGTTTTGAATGCTTCAGTAATACTATAAACATCATTCCAAGTTTAGCAAAATTCATCAGGTTACATAATGAGTAGCACTGACTTGTATCACTAGGACAAGCCTGGGTCCTGAGGCATGCAGTTTGTATGTTTTATTTGTAAGTACAAACATTACAGGGTTCTGGCAAAGTTTATAAAAATCACTAATAAAAAGTTTTGTTTCTGTGAGAATTGCAAATCTAACTCTCAGGGACAAACTCTTTTTCCTTTATAAGAATTACAAGATAAATAAACATATTTCTGAAAGAAGTCTGTTACACTGAAAATAGTAGACTGAATTTCAATGTCCCAGCATCAGAATTAATTTCATCATATTCTTAAAGAGTGAGGGTCTTTACCATGTTATTCTGGATATTCCTTAACATGAGAGGAAATCATTCTTATTTTAAAACTTTCATGTTGATTTTCTTGCTTTTATGCTGCCTTCCTTCCTTGACTCCATTAGGATCAAATATTGAAGACTTCGTGTGGTCACTGAAGCGTCAGGATATGGTTTTGGAAATAGATGACTTTAGAAGTAGAAATGGCTCAGATGATCCTTCCTACAATGGAGCCATCGTAGTGTCCGGTGACCAGAAGGTATGTTTGCCTCCGTGTACTGTTTTATCATGAATGGGTTTTGCCACGTTCTAATACTTTAGAACTATAGAAAAGCAACTCAACCATTCTATATCAGCGTGACTCAGAACACCACCTTGGCCCTTTTTGAGTAAGGTATGAAATTTTATTCCTTGAAAGGGCATGTTTTCCATCCTCAGTAATTTCTTGAAGGGATCATTTTTTATTAGTGATTTGATTTGTCATAAAAGCAATGCATGTTTTGTGACAACATAGATGGACCTTGAGGGCATTATGCTAAGTGAAATAAACCAGACAGAGAAAGACAAATATTCCATGGTATCACTTAATGTGGCATCTAAAAAAAAAAAAAAGTAAAACTCGTAGAAACAGAGTAGACAAATGGTTTCCAGGGGCTGGAGGTGGGAGAAATAGGGAGAGATTGAAAAAGGGTACAAACTTTCAGCTAGAAAATGAATAAGGTCTGAGGATTTAATGTAAAACATGCTCACTATACGTATTTGGTAACACTGTGTTGTGTCATTGAAATTTGCTCAGAGAGTAGAACTTAACTGTTCATAGATATATGTGAGGTGATGGATGTGTTAACCAGATGGGAGGAATCCTTTCACAATGTACTAGACGTGTATCAATCAAATCATCACGATGTACACTTTAACTATCTTACAATTTTATTTATCAATTTTACCTTAATAAAGCTGAAAAAAAAAGCAATGCATGTTTGATAGAGAAACTCAAACATTACCAAAGTATATAATGTAGAAGGTAAAATTTTCTCTATAATTTCATTCCTTTATTTTTCCATATTATATTTCTATTAATAGTTTGGTAAATATCTTCTATACTCACTTCATTTATAAAAACACAAACTCACTATGTATATTATGATCTTATATTTGAAAATATATTTTCTAAATTGAAATTGTATTAGAGGAGTCCTGCAACTTTCTTTGTCACATAAAATCTAAGTCTTTGATATCTTTCCGTGTTAGTGAATGTTAATCTATTTCATTTATGGGGTAAGTCACTTGGATTACAAAAATAATGCATTCTTGTACCGATTCCAAAAGGCAGAAGTGTCAAAGAAAAATTAGTCTCCTTCTCACCCTAATTCCACCCTAGTAATATGTTAACTATACAATAAATATATTTACTCTAAGAATTTAGAACTTATATTTGTGTGCTTTCTTTTTTTTAAGGATTACAGATTTTCAGTTGCATGTAACACCAAGAGAACGCATTGTTTTCCTGTTCTTATGGGAATTGTTAGCAATGCCCTTCTTGGAATGTTTAACTTGACAGAGCTTGTTAAAATGGAGAGAAGCACATTTCCTGTCGTAAGTATAGTATTGACTTATGTAAGGGGCAGTGTCGCAGAGGGATAAAGGGCGAGGACTTGAGAGCCTGCCACCTGAGTTTGAATCCTGCTTCTGCTACGAATTAGCAAGTTTCTTTTTCTTTTTTTTTTTAAAGATTTTATTTATTTATTTATTTTTCCCCCAAAGCCCCAGTAGATAGCTGTATGTCATAGGTGCACATCCTTCTAGTTGCTGTATGTGGGACGCGGCCTCAGCATGGCCGGAGAAGCGGTGCTTCAGTGCGCGCCTGGGATCCGACGTATTAGCAAGTTTCTTAGCCGCTCTTTGCCTCACTGTCCTTATCTGTAAAATGAGGGCTATAATAGTACCTACTTTATATGATTGTTGTGAAGATTAAGTGAGATTACTAAGTGCCTAGAACAGAGCCTGACATATATATTTTTCATTCATTCTGCAAATACTTCTTGACTGTCTCTCATGTCCTGGTCCTTCCAGATGTTGGGGATACAGCATAAACAGAACAAACAAAAATCCCACCCCATGGAACTTACATTCTTGTAAGCGAGAGAGTAAGCATTCAGTACACATTTGCTATTATGTATTCTGAAAGATCAAGAATTTTTCGAGTAGTTTTATGTTTAGTCTCATTAAATTTTTTCCATTATATTTATATTTAAAAGATTTAATGGAAAAAATTTAAATATATAATAGAATTCCTTACTTTACTAAATTAAATGTAACCTATTATCTTCTATCCCTTCTGTTGATTTTTTTTCCATTACATTTATTACCCCTTGAGGCACTCACTATTTGAGTTACATTTTATTGCTGGCCTCACTCCTCTAGTCTGAAATCTTGTCTGATCAAAAATTGCACCCAGCTCCCCAAGACATAGAATATTAAAAGAGCCAAGATCCAACAGGACACTGAAAAATTTTAAATGATAGGGAAAAATCATAGAACTGTTAAAGAATCATAGTTTAGGCTTTGTTTGGTTCACTGTCCAGAACAGTTCTTCACACTTACTAGGTGAAATCATACATATTTGCCGAAATCAATGAATGAATGGATTTGCTTGGAAACCTAGAACACAGAGAAGCCTCAAACTCAAATCCTTAACCTTATGTCAGATTTCCTTGGGGGAATTTGCTGAGTATGTCGTATACACTGATTAAAGCAAGCGTGGTAGGTATATATGTGTATATACATATGTACCTCAGTGAGACTTATGAGAATGTATGGCCCAATCCTAAAATTATGATTATTTAACAGTTCTGTAGTATTTTATCTATTATTTTATTACTATTATTTTTTTTTGCTGAGGAAGATTGTCCCTGAGCTAACATCTGTACTCATCTTCCTCTATTTTGTATGTGGGACGCCACCATAGCATGACCTGATGAGCGATGTGTAGGTCCATGCCTGGGATCGGAACCTGCAAACCAAAGCAGAGCTTGAGAACTTAACTGCTGCACCACTGGGCCGGTCCCACGCTCTACTATTTTAAATTCTGCAGTGTTCTTTTGGGCCTTGGCTCTTTTATGTTTTATATCTTGCAGAATGCAGTGCAATTTTTGACCATATGTGATTTTAATAACCCTTTCTCAGCCTTCAAATAATTTCTAACAAGTGTGTTTGATTATGGTAGATTAAAAAAAGGGAAAAGCTATGGAAATTGGGTGGATATTTGCAAGTATATGCATAGTGGTTATGGAGAATGAAATTTTACTGGAAAATTTCACAATGAGAAATTAACATAATGCCAGCTCTAGTTTTTTACATATGAAATAGGGCAATTTAATTATAAGTATAAAAACCATTTAATATAAAACAATATGATGTCTTTCTAGATGGAAATAGCAATGTGCTACCAACTCAGAGCAAGAATAAGGAAAATGCAATCAAACCTCAGTCCCAGTAATTTCTCAAGATTGAGATCTAATATCGTTTCATCTATTTCCCAGTGCCCCAGAGTTAATTGTGCCCTCATTTAGCCTTCATTACATTTACTTATGTTACAGAATTTATGTTGTCTTGCCATTATTTGTTTATTTTTCAAATATAAACTTCTTGAGGGTAGTAATCATATCTGATTTCTCTTTTTGCTCTCATCACAAAGGATAATGCCTGGCACAGAGCAAAACTTCCATAAGTGTTTGTTGAATGGATGGGTCAATGGATAAATGAGTGAGTAGACTGGATAACTTCCGTCATGTCAGTTACCAATTATCACCTCTAAACCACAGCTTTCTCTCCTGCAAGATGAGAACTGCAAGCAGATAATCTGTAATAGTTTTTCTATTCCTAAAATTTTGTGATTCTAATATTTGCTCTTTCTAACTCACAAAGTAGGTGTAAGGTTCAGCTGAGAGGTTATTTTTGAAAGTACTTTGGGAGTGTTTAAGGTATCATACAATCATGAGTCATTGTTATCCTTACTGTGGAGCGTGTTACAATTATCCCTTGTCAAAATCTTCTCTTCTCTACTGTTAAGAGATAAAAATTGTCTTGCAGCCTTTGAATGAAAGGGCTAGAGGGCTTTCGATCTGTATAACTGAATGAACATTTGGCTTACTGAATGCAAACCAACTTTAGGTCACCTTGCATTTAATCAAAAGCTTTCTCTGTCTGAAGGGAAAGTAGGTCTGGCTGAGCATGATAGCCTTAGAGGGAGAAAGACAGTGTTTGGGGGTTTCCTCTCAATGATAGCAAGCCTTGCCAAAGTATAAATGATGCCTACCTCTGTTCACTAGATAAAATAACCTAGGGGCTCTGGGTATTGTCAGAGTGAATTCCCTAGAAAAATATCAAGATGAAGAACATTCTGCTCAGGCAGAAAGTACCACCAATGGAGCTCTTTATCACCTACAGTCTCATAAGTGTACCTTTCCTCTTGACTCTCTCTTCAGCTTCCTCCTTCCTCACTTCTTTTTCCCCAACATTATTCAGAATGTTTTTTCAATCTTTAGGCAGAGTAAGTAGAAATGGAACTGAGGGGAGAACTTAACTCTGGGCGCTTTTGCTTCAGGTGCAATATGATACAAATTTATCTTTTCCACGTAGCCTCTCACTCTGAGTCGTATGTGGCCAGTGGACCCCAAAGGGATGCATTAGTTGCTTTAGTTTAGTTTTTGAATCTGCTTGCGAAGATTATTACTCATGAATTTGCAGAATATTTGTCTTAGCATATTACCTCCAGACATCAAATATGTTCATTGTTGATTCTCTCAATTTATTAGCTAGAACCCCCTTTATTAGTTAGGGGTTCTATTCTTCCCTCCTGACACAGCTCTGACACAGCTCCTTGATTTGCCCTTTTGCTAAACCAGATCAGAAAATGCGAGATGATGCATGGATGCCTGGGCTTCCTCCCTTACCATCTAGGTAAACCCAGACGAAATCGGTGTGTGTGTGTAGGGGGAGGGGAGCTTGTCAAGAAAGTGATCTGGGATATTAATTTTGTTTTCTGTGGATCCAGGGCAACTGAGTTGTCCCTTAGTCCCTCATGAATACCTTTTAAAATATTCAATTGGAAATTGTATTTCTTTAGGAAAATTACAAATTTCAGGTTTTTTTCTAGTTGTTACATTTTCACCTGATACAGGTATTTTCTTTTAAAGAAAATAACTATTATTCATTTTTTACACATGCATAACCTAACAAAATAACCAATTATAGTCAGAATAGGGATTAGTATAATATAGTTTACTGCCCACTAGTCGAGGGACATGATTTATTTTTATTTTTAGCCACAATCACCCTTTTAGTCAGGTATAACAACTTCCTGTATCAGCAACACCTCAGATCTAGGGGCTGGTTTTATCCCAGCAGAAAGCACAGACCAGTAGTTCTCCTACTTTAATGTGCATCAAAATTACCTGCAGGGCTTGTTAGAACAGACTGCTGGGTCCCATTCCTAGAGGTTCTGAATCAGTATGTCTGGGATGAGGCCTGAGGACTTGCATTTCTGGCAAGTTCCCAGGTAATATTGATGCTGCTGGTCTGAGACCACACCTTGAGAACCACAGGCATAGAAGTGTCTATATCTCCACAATTCAATTTACAGAGCCAGCTGTACATTGCCTCTGATGTCTGCAGGTGTCTTCTAATGCTGTCAAGACTTCTTTTAATAACTTCCTTTTCACATTCCTCATTATTTCTGTACTTTGAAATGGGTGCTTCACTTAGCTCTTTGTTATCTGTCCCTTCTTGGTTCTTGCCTGATATTGCTTCCTCGTTTTTCTTAAATTCTAGTGTTTTCCTCCTCACTTAGGTTAAATACAACTGCTCTGAGTTATTGAGCACCTCTCACGTGGCAAAGACTACACTAGCTAAGAATCATGATTTCACTTAATCCTCACTAATGCCTTTGAAGTTAATATCATACTCATGTTGCAAATAGGAATACTAAAGTACATAGACAGAACATTCACTAGTTAATAAGTCCCACTAGTCAAATATTTATCATTGGAATTCCAATGCCTACATTCAACCTCTGCCCAGTAATGAGTTTCATTGGTTAGCTCTGACCTTCCATGTATCTGGACCGCCTAAGCCTCCTACCAATATTCATATTCATATTTATATTCACATTCATATGTCCATTTCATATTCAAGGGCCAGTCAAGGCACTTTTTGTCGAAGGACAGAAAAGGAGTCTGGACAAGGATACGGAAAGAAGAATAAATGAGAAATGAAAAACCCACGGGAATTTTAAGGAATAGTGATTTTTGATGGCAGATTGAAAGAAGTTTAAAAAAGAGAGACACATCTAAGAAGACACTGTTTTCTAGCTTAGAAAATTGAAAAAGTCACAATACTACTGATAGAAACAGGGAAGTTGTAAACACAAGTTTATTTGGAAGAGATGTTGGTATTAGTTTTGGATTTAGTATATTGGGTGAAGCAAGAGCCGTAAAGAAGAGAGATGGGAGAGCACAGAAGAGCAGAGATTTCGGTGAGAACATCAGGAAGTACTTACAGGTAGAAGGCATAGGATGTAGAGGAGGAAACATTTA